AGATTGTCAATAGTCAATTGTTCTCGTAATTTTTGGAGCACTTCCACGATGAAAGACATTTTCAAAACCTCAAATAGGAGAATAAATTTGTTGTAAGAGAAGTCAGGAAACATAAGTGCTCTCAGAATATAGAGGCCCTTCAAACTAGGAATTAAATCGGATCCAAAAGGGAATCACAACAAAAACATTTAAAAAATACCCGAAAATGGAGCAGATGTGCAAGAAACACCACGCTATTTTCGAGTTTCTTGTCATCACCATTCGGTGTCTTAGAAATTTCCCCAATGAATTCACGCAGAAGCATTTCAATGAAGTATGCTGCTGAAAGTGAAATATGACGTGACCAAGAGATTGTTAGCGTAAAATTGCTTACAGATCTCGTCACTGATGAATGCATGCATGTGAGCAATAAAGAGAGCGTATAACGAAAGCAGCTGATCCTGAAGTCGATAGGGAGATCGTAACAACCGAAGAATGATTTGCGTCAAGCACGACTTCACATCTGGATGAGGTATTCGAAGCGATGTATAAGCAATAGATAAAAATTCTTACCGTTCTTCGAATGGTATTGCCAATAATCGGAAACTATGTGGTAACTTCTCACCAATGTACCCTCCGATAACCTGAGAGCAAGAGGAACGACTTAACAAAACGAAACTGCGTAACTCCGCTTACCTATTAATTGTCCCCATAAGCACACGTTCGATTTCCTTCTTTGACTCACTATCATCATTTTTGGTATCAAGATCTTCTAACTTCTTCAAGGCAGCCTTCGGATCTGCTCCAATTATTTGACCAGTCCTTCTGAATTATGGAGGTTCCGTAGATGTCCCATATGTAAATATGATTGATGAGGAGAACAAGGTCAACTGTTACCTATTTATGGTTCGACCGTATATATCCTCCTGTAGATCCTCTTCACTGTCATCTTCGCTTTCCTAAATAACACGACGACATTGTTTACAGGATTGGGGTGTAAAGATTAAGATTTCAAGAGATTCTCTGCTAGACACTTCAGATTTTACAATATCCTTTGAATATACAATTAACATAAGTATAAAAATCTCACGATTTCCTCATTGTCTACTTCAATCTCTTCATCAGCGTCAGCCTCATCCTTATCATTCGCAACGATCACCTCTTCTTCAATTTCCACTTCTGTACTTGCTGTGCTCATAGCACCGTCATCATCTTCGCCACTTAATTCTCCTCCTAATAAGGAAAAGTTAACATTGTTAAGGCGTCAGCTCTGCATTCCAATAAGATAACCATAAACAAAACAACGTTTAGCACATTGCGCTACCTAGTTGTTGCAAATCTATTAGCGCTGTTTGTCTATAAGAAACGTGAACACCATTATGACAGGAAAAGGGATGAAAACTCCAAAGGACTTTTTAAATTTGTGCTAATCATTACTAGTTATTTAATTCATCGAGAAAAACTTTGTAGCAAAAATGCAGGCGGTACATACCTGTCAAACTAATTTCTTGATCCGTTGAAAAAGCTAAGATTCGCTTTCTATTGTCGCTATCACAAAATTCGAGCAAATCTAGAAGTTCTATTAGCTACCAACATGATTTGAATCAATTATGTGATATTACCATCGAGACCATCGTTTGCAAAAGACTTGAGTTTCATAGTTTTTTTCTTCTCAGTGATACCAAGAAGTTTCGAATAACGATGAATGTCAACATCATCTTGTTCTGCATCGTCTTCTTCCATAGCAATTTTCATCTTCTTATCCTTAAAAATGGAAAAGTCCTTTCGTGAAGATAGCAACGTTACCACGGCTACCTGAACTTCTTTGAGATACTGTTCATAAGTCAAATCCTCATCAGAATCTGATTCACAGTCCGAATATGCTGCTTTCCTATTGTGCTTGCGCGTATGCGCATCTTCAGAAAAAGAATGGTCTTCGTCCTCCCATGCTTCACCTATATCCTCTACTCGCGTACTCTTTTTCTTCTTCGCCTTTTTTTTGGTGCCAAGAATGTCCACCATAACCTTTTCGAGCTGAATCAGGCTGCTTATTATTTATAATTAATGAAGCATGTTGTATCGCATACAATAAAAACTTAACATCATCCGAAAATATGCTCTTTCAATGCACGGTAAGATCCAGGTAGTATTTTTGTAGAAATCAACAAATGTAAGAAATGGCTGCGGCTACCTCCTTCACATAACGAATGCTAGTGACGTTTTCTTATCAGTTCAAAGTTTACAAAGGTTAAAAGCTAAGAATAACGAGGTTTTTAGAGTGCTTAAAAAAGACCAACATATGAGCAGGATAAGTACAACAAAAGAAAATGAAAAGGTCTTTTTCAGAATGATTATAGTGGATAACGGTTTAATTTATCTAGTAAAATGTCAATAAGATATGGGAAAAGGTGAATGAGAAAAAAATCGTAACAACTAACCGGTTGATGTTTAGCAATAGCGACTTTCTGCAGCTTCCTGAGTTGCTTAGCTCGCTTTCTGTCCTGTTTTCTCGAAGATGTAACAACTCCATTACGCTCTGATTTCACCACTGACATCCATTTCTTAAGCCCCATCTTTACGAACTTCGTAGAGTTTTTCTAGGGATCTAAAAATAAAGTTTGTCTATAACGACTGGTCCAAAATAGAGGTACGATAAAAAAGATTCAATAGCAGCCCTTCAGCAGTGGGTCGCTATTGAATAATCACGAACAACAATTATAATGGGATAAATAGCGAAGTATACTTTTTTTCTAAAGCTTTTGAC